TCCTCTAGCCCCGCCCACTCCCCTCTGATTGGTTCCTGGGTGGGTGGGGCTGCCCTGCTTCACTTCCGCCACATAATAAACAAACTCTGCCTTCATGCAGCAGGTTGGCATGGCAACAGATGACGCTTCCTCATGAAGGAAGAGCCAATCACATTACTCTCTGCGCAGGCCCCGCCCACCTTCAGCTGTGTTCCTCTGATTCGCCGCTGCTCCCCTGCTGTGGTGAGGGGGCGGTCCTTGCAGAGGCCCCGCCCTCTTCGTGCTGCGGCTGTTTGGCGGAGCTGGATAGGTCGATGGCCTCTTCCTCCTCCTCCTCTTCCTCCTCTGTCTCCTCCCCTCAAGAAGCTCCGCCCCCTCGGCGCGCCGCTCCGGGGCGTCGCAGAACCGGTCTGGTGACGGCGGGCTGGAGCATTTCTTGGCCATCTCCAGGGACTTCTTGTGCATACCTGAGTGGGCGGAGCCAGACCAGATCAGGTCAGCAGGGAGGCGGCCAGCAGGGGGCGCCGTGAGCGAGCGCGTGTGTATTACTTCCGGTGTGCGTGTGCGTGGCACTGACGTGCATGCGGCTCACCGAGCAGCCAGGGGGCGCAGGAACCCATCATGCCGTTCTTGGCCGAGTTGAGGATGGACTCCGGCAGCGGGATGGAGTGGCGGACCATGGCGCCGTACAGACCGTACTCCGCCATGACGCTGCTGCGGCCCCAGCACTTCTCACGCTTCCGCCACTTCGCCCGCCGGTTCTGGAACCACACCTGGACCAACAGAACCGGGACATGTGGACCGGGTCAGAACCAGGCAGAACCATACAGAACCGGGACATGTGGACCGGGTCAGAACCAGGCAGAACCGGCCGCTGAGCTTTTTGCTATTAAACGTTTAAATAAAATAAAATGCCTTTAATGATCAATTGTTATAACAGCTAATTGGTTATTATATAAATATATTAATGTTTCTGCACTTTATAATTAATTTAGTCTATTTTTCTACATGGTTTTGTTTAAAGACTTTATTCTAATGATTTTTTGGTTTTAACATATTTTCTTATTGTTGCTAATTGATTAATTGATGGTGTGAAGTCGCGGCTGTTGGCGGGTTGATGTGAGTCCGGTTCCGGTTCTGGTTCTGGTTGTTGAGTTATGAGGAATTTCTTTGTAAATGTCATTTTCCTGTCTCTCTTATGCGAGTCGATTTTCAGTCTCCCGTGTCTGAATCCTCTGACAACAAGAAGTGGATCAGATCCCTGTTTCTGGAGGTCGTGACCTTTGCTCCTGTGGTTGTACATCATTGGAATGGGTTCGTATTAATATGTCTTGGAAATGTATCTGGAAATATCTTTTAAACTCGTTCACAAAGTTAAACTCTAATAATTGGTCCTTCTGTGACGTTTGCCCAGAACCATTTGTTCTGGTTTTGTCCTCATTCTAAAGTATTTTGGAAACATTTTTGTAACTTTATTGATTCCATAATATCAGCAGGATTTCAATTATATTGGAAAAATGTCTTATTCATATTTCAACCAAATGGAGGAATGAATGTGAAAAGTTTCCTGATCAATTTAATAATTATTAAGGCTAAATTTCACCTAGAAAAATGCAAATTTTTGAAGAAAAATATGAACTTTTCAGTTTTTTTGATCGAACTTAAACATTATTTATTAATAATTCAATCCTCAACCAACCAGACTTTGAATCAATATGTTTTATATTAATGCTCATGTATCTCAATTGGTCCTGTTTTCTTCATTCATATTTATTTTCTTGTCTTCATGCTTTATTTTATGCTCCTCTGGTAAATTATTATTATTGTTATATCCACAGAACGATTGTATGGTTGTTTATTTTAATAAATAAAGTTTATTAAAAAATAAAATGTGAGTCCGGTTCCGGTTCTGGTTCCGGTTCCGGTCGGCCCCTGCTGTTTTGTTCTTTTGGATCGGCTCACCTGGTCCAACTTTCTGTTTTTTAAATTAAATCTATTTCTTTCTGGCCTCCTCTAATATTCTAGACATATTATTAGCAAGTTATAATAAAGTATTGATTGAATACTAATGAGTATTAATAATAATGTATTTGTGTCATATTTTTATACATTCGAGAATTAAATAATGATTAATGGATGTAATTTTGTTTTATTTGAGTTTATATACTTTCATGTAAATATAGCTAAATATTTAATGACTTTAATGAATATCTTCATTATCATAAATAATAACCCTTAAATTAATGATGATAAATTCTTATTCTTTATTATTAACAAAAATAAATAATGTGTGCATTATTTTAAATATCTAAATGATTTATTTACTTCCTATGTTTCTATACACAAAAGGAATAATTTAATAAAGATCGGTGTTTATATTATTACTGAATAAAACACAGTAATAATATAACACACAATCAAAACACAGTCCTCTGTTCTGCGGACCGGACCCGGACCACCGGACCACCGGACCACCGGACCCGGACCACCGGACCACCGGACCCGGACCACCGGACCACCGGACCACCGGACCGCGGTCTCACCTGGATCCGGTCCTCCGGAAGCTCCGTCTTCATGGCCAACATCTCCCGGGCATAAACGTCCGGATAGTGGGCCTCATGGAAGGCCTTCTCCAGCTCCTCCAGCTGGTGGGAGGTGAAGACGGTGCTGAGGAGGAGGAGGAGGGAGGAGGAGGAGGAGGAGGAGGAGGAGGAGGAGGAGGAGGAGGAGGAGGAGTTGGAAAAGTCAAAATCAAGTCGGAATTCACTGAGCCGCAGTTTCAGAACCGGTTCTGTTCACATGGTTTAATCCAGCTGCTGTATTCATTATTATTATTATTATTATTATTATTATTACTATTATTATTATTTCATCTCTTTTGGCTGATTTAATGAAAATCTTGATTTGAAGCTCCAGATTTTCTATTTTCATAAGTAAATCTGTTAAAATATATGTGAACTTTATTTCACTGTTATGATTTAGAATCGATCAAATCGATGATGATTTATTTGCACATAATTAGAACCGGTTCTGGTCCATCAGAATTTCATTCATAAAAATATGATTTGCTTTCATTTCATATTTGTTTTTTATATCTAAATATATTTTCAAGATTTTTCAGCTCAAAGTTCGGGAGCTGCTGGTTGATCGGAACCGAGCCGCAGATTTAAAGCTGAGAGGAAAAATAAATCCTCCAGTTTCAATTCATTTCATCTTTTGAATTTATTTCATTTCTCTTATTTTCAAACTTGTTTCCAGATGAAGATCTTCCTCACCGGTGTCTCCTCTTCTTCCTCTTCTGCGAGTTTCCGGAGCTTTTCGAGTCGTTTCGGTCCGACAGACAGTCTTCATCTGCAGAACAGAACCAGAACATCAGAACCAGGCCGCGGTGGAACCGGGCCACTCCAGAACCGAACCGGACCGGTCCGTACCGGAGAACTGCTCCCGCTGGGCCTCCAGGTTCTGCAGGTAGTGGCCGTCCGGCCGCGCCTGCAGCAGCGGCAGGTGTCCCCGGCAGGAAGCACGGCGCCCCGGCGGGCTGCTGCGCCGCCAGGCTGCACAGGAAGCCCAGGCCGAGCGGCAGCGACCCGCCCGGGAACGAGAAGCCGCCGAGGCCGCCGGCCGGGCCCGGAGGCTCCGCGGCGGCCCCGGAGCCCGCGGCGGGCGGCCCGGAGGGCTGCTGCCGCGCCGCCAGGTCCGACTCCAGGCCCAGCAGGTCGGTGATGGCGAAGCCTTTGGACCGGAACCCGGAGCCGTGCAGCCGGGCCTTGTCGATGCCGAACCCCGGGGAGAGCATCCGAACCCTGGGCTTGTCCTCGCTGAGCTCCTCCCGGCCGGTCATGCTGAGGAAGAGGAGTGATGAAGGTCGGAAAACGGGACCCGGACCCGGCGGGGGGAATTTATGCGGCCCCGGGCCCCCGGGTCCGCGGCGGCAGCCAATCAGGAGCCAGAAGCAGCGGGGTGGAGGGAGGGGGGGCGGGAGGGGGGGGAAGGGGGGGGGGGGGGGGGCTCTCCTCTCAATCCCAGAGGATTAATTGCCACCAATTTCCCTCCAATCCGATCTGGATTTAGTGGCCGGAGGAAGAGGAGGAGGAGGAAGAGGAGGAGGAGGAAGAGGAGGAGGAGGAAGAGGAGGAAGAGGAAGAGGAGGAGGAGGAGGAAGGTTTAGTTTGTTGATCTTTGATCGGACCCAGATCTCCTCTTCATCACCGAGCTGCAGGGGTTACCATGGCAACCGCGTCCCAGAGCCAGGTGAGGTCAAAGTTTAAAAACTTTGAACAGAATCAGAAAGAAGAAATGAACAAGCCAGGATCAATAAGAGACAGAGAGACAGGAGGACAGAGACAGAGAGACAGGAGGACAGAGACACAGAGAGACAGGAGGACAGAGACAGAGAGACAGGAGGACAGAGAGACAGGAGGACAGAGAGACAGGAGGAGAGAGACAGAGAGAGACAGGAGGACAGAGAGACAGGAGGACAGAGACAGGAGGACAGAGAGACAGGAGGAGAGAGACAGAGAGAGACAGGAGGACAGAGACAGAGAGACAGGAGGACAGAGAGACAGGAGGAGAGAGACAGGAGGACAGAGACAGAGAGACAGGAGGACAGAGAGACAGGAGGACAGAGACAGAGACACAGGAGGACAGAGACAGAGAGACAGGAGGACAGAGACACAGAGAGACAGGAGGACAGAGAGACAGGAGGACAGAGAGACAGGAGGACAGAGACAGAGAGACAGGAGGACAGAGAGACAGGAGGACAGAGACAGAGAGACAGGAGGACAGAGAGACAGGAGGAGAGAGACAGAGAGAGACAGGAGGACAGAGAGACAGGAGGACAGAGACCAGAGAGACAGGAGGACAGAGAGACAGGAGGACAGAGACAGAGAGAGACAGGAGGACAGAGACAGAGAGACAGGAGGACAGAGAGACAGGAGGACAGAGAGAGACAGGAGGACAGAGAGACAGGAGGACAGAGAGACAGGAGGACAGAGAGACAGGAGGACAGAGAGACAGGAGGACAGAGAGACAGGAGGACAGAGACAGAGAGAGACAGGAGGACAGAGACAGAGAGACAGGAGGACAGAGAGACAGGAGGACAGAGAGAGACAGGAGGACAGAGAGACAGGAGGACAGAGAGACAGGAGGACAGAGAGACAGGAGGACAGAGACAGAGAGAGACAGGAGGACAGAGACAGAGAGACAGGAGGACAGAGAGACAGGAGGACAGAGAGAGACAGGAGGACAGAGAGACAGGAGGACAGAGAGACAGGAGGACAGAGACAGGAGGACAGAGAGACAGAGAAAAAGTTAATATGTATCATCATCAGCTGCAAGCATCTTCAGATGAAATCATTTAAGATTAAATATGAATTTATTGATTCATTTGTTTATTAGTTTGTTCATCATTTCTGAGTGAGAAAATTCCAGAAATCAACAATCTGACAAGAAACTGGGAGGATTTGTGTCTCTTTCAGGTTCCCTTCATTGTTACCAGTTAAGAAGACAGGAAATGTAAAAATATTGCAATTATGTGTTACGGGAAAACCTTGCTAGTGAGATGTTATTTAAATCAACGACTAATCTGAAAAACCGCAAATAATAATAAAAAATACATATAGTTAAAATGTTTGTCAATTATTTGCACTTCTGTTTAATAAAAATTAAGTCAGAATCTCCCAGATTTCACTAAACCTAACAGAAGCTGTTAGAGGTGCTGATGCTTTTAGCAGCAAGAGACAGAGACAGAGTGTGTGTGGACCTGCTCAGAACACACACACACACACACACACACACACACACACACACACACACACACACACACACACACACACACACACACACTTAGCTGGTACTACCGGATGAGGTCCGGCGGTACCAGCCGGTACCTGGTTCTGTTGGGCCGGTCCAGATCATCCAGCATTGGTTCTTCAGTTCAGCTGACACTGGGAGACCCGGTCCGAACCGGGCATGTTCTGGTCAGGTTCTAACCGGGCCTGAGGTTCTGCCAACGGATCCTCAGCAGATCCAGAGACTGAAACGTCTCAGAACTGGGAAGCTCTCCAGAGTGGACTGGGCCATCAGAACCGGCCTGGTGCTCACCGTCACCCTCCGGGTCCGACCCGGTCCGGACCCGGGTTCGGGCCGGGTCCGGACCTGTTAGGATTCAAGTTGGTGTGAGTGCTCCTCCGAATAGACAATCTTCGTGGGAGCGTTCTGGAAGGCTGACGCACCTGAAGCGGATTTCTGAAATCGGCTGCAGGATTCTTAAGGAGCGGTGGAGCAGCCATTCATCGCTCGATGGTCCCACTTGTTGGTTTTGGATGCTCTGCCTGGATCCAGCTAGGAACCACGCCCACCCGAACACTGACACCGATCGCCCACCGGACTAAACGCTCTCGTCTGCCGCCTGAGCCCGCAACCTTCTCGGAGCCTTTGCACCAACGGATCCTACCTCCTCCTCGGCAATCCTCCATCAGATGAACTGATGGAGAGACAGAGAGACAGGAGGACAGAGAGACAGGAGGACAGAGAGACAGTGAGAGGATCCCTGTCAAGATCCTCTCACTCCCGCTCCTACTAACCTCTCCCTTCTCCAAGCAGTACCTGAGCCGCCCAGCCGCTCCCGATCCCAGAGGACAACTTAGGCTCAACATATTCAATAATAACTGTAAATAAATCTTTGAATCAAAACCTTCCGGTCTGATGTCTAAACCTGCATGTCCAACATGACAGGACCCCTACTGCAGTGTATTTAAGGTGGCGCTTAATTGAAGCAGTTTAATCCTGGAGCCGTTTGGCTGATTGAGGTTAATCTATTAGCATAAATGTGAATTTATGAATAATTAGTGGGACATGGGGGGGCAAATGGGGGCAAATGGGGGCAAAAAGGGGCAGGACGGGGGGCAGACTGTTGAAACACAACAATGGGTCAGAACAGCAGCTGACTGGATGGTTCTGTTGGACCCGGTGCATCAGAACCATCAGGGTCTCGTCTCTACAACGACCAGCTTCTGCTTGATTTTGGACCTTCTGGAGGAAACCCATCTAGACCTTCCAGAACCTCTGGAAAGGTTCTGCTGGTTCCAGTGAGGAAAAGGTTCTGTAGAACGCACCGGCCTTTCAGTGAAGCACGGTGGTGGTAGCATCATGGCCTGGAGAACAGCTGACATTTCCTCTGAGGTCCAGTCCTGGTTCTGACCCGAAGGCCCTCTGCACATTTTTGTCCTGAGTAGTTTGTTGGACCGGGTCACAACCAGACCTGGTTGGGTCTGAATATGGACTCGGTTGGTCCCAGTTGGATCCGGTTGGATCCGGTTGGACCCGGTTGGATCCGGTTGGTCCCGGTTGGATCCGGTTGGATCCGGTTGGTCCCGGTTGGATCCGGTTGGATCCAGTTGGACCCGGTTGGACCCGGTTGGATCCAGTTGGACCCGGTTGGATCCGGTTGGACCCGGTTGGATCCAGTTGGATCTGAACGTTCTCCAGTTGCTGCGTCTGAAGTTCAGGCCTTGAATGGGTCCAGAATAATTGAGTTGATGCGACATGCAGATTACAGCCGTGACCTCTGACCCCTGACGTCTGCACTTTAATTACAGAAAGTCGAAGAGAAACGACGATGATGATGAACGAGATGAAGAGTGGATGAAAAGATCAGAGATAATCTGAAGATTATTATAATCAATCAATCTGCTTTGTCATATGAAGGTAATCCACAGTATTGATTTAATCCAGACTCTTCATCTGATGTTCTGCTTCCTAATCTGCTGTCTGATCAACTCCACCGATCAATAATCATCTGCAGACTCACAATTACAGCAGCAGGAACCAAAAAGAGCTGGATTTAGTTTTTATCTGGTCGATTTGATCAAATTACACTGTAAAAACCTTTATTTGTCCAAGAACAGCCGCACTAGACTGGCTCTGGACCAATCAGAGGCTCAGCAGTTAGCATGATTAGCTGCCAGGTAACAACAATTAGCTGTTAGCAACAGCTAGATAATTGTTAGTAGTTAGCATTACCTTGATATTAGCATTAGTGCTAACTAGATATCAGCTTTAATTAGCTATCAGAAGGTTGTAAGTCCTAGCTAGCTGCTAGCTGTTTAATTCATCAACCTCCTGCTAGGCTAACTATTTTCCTGAAACCACACCCAGAACACCTGTGGCTTTTCAGAATAAAATTGACAAATAATTCAAGTAATGTAGATGGAAAAGTTTTGATCCTAAGTGTTGTGTGGTGAGCTAACAGGCTAACAGGAGCCGCTGACCTCCAGCTGGAGGAACCAGCTGATTGTTGCCTCCTGGTGAAAGTCGGACAAAATTAGGGCCAAGTTGCAGTTTAATCCCTGGGGATTGACTGGCAGGCTGGCAGCTCCGTGTGTGTCTGTGTGGAAGAAGGTAAAAATGGTCAGCGGGTTTAAAAAGCAATTAGTTTGGAGGAATCTGCTTATCAGAGATAATTAAAGCAAATTTGAGGCTGATGTTTTTAATCCGTCTCTGTTCTCCTTTTTCTTTCTGATGATGTCAACTGAGATTTATTTCTGCTTAAAATAAACTGTTGAGATTATTTTTAATCAGTGAAATCCTGGTTATCTGTGAGTGGCTGAGCTGCAGGGAGGCAGCCAATCAGAGCGCACCTTAATCAGCAGCAAGATCCGGCAAACAGGCGCCACCTTAAAGGGACAGCACCGCCTTAAAGGGACAGCGCCACCTTAAAGGGACAGCACCACCTTAAAGGGACAGCTCTGCCTTATAGGGACAGCGCCACCATAAAGGGACAGTTCCGCCTTATAGGGACAGCGCCACCTTAAAGGGACAGCGCCAACTTGAAGGGACAGCACCGCCTTAAAGGGACAGCTCCGCCTTATAGGGACAGCGCCACCTTAAAGGGACAGCACAACCTTAAAGGGACAGCACAACCTTAAAGGGACAGCGCCAACTTGAAGGGACAGCGCCACCTAAA